AGCTTTCTATTTTGATGTAGTCCCAGTAGTTTATTTTTGCTTTTGTTTCCCTTGCCTCAGGAGACAGATCTAGAAACATGTTGCTGCAGCCATTGTCAGAGAGTTTACTGCCTGTGTTCTCCTCTAGGATTCTTATGGTTTCGGGTCTCACATTTAGGTCTTTCATCCATGTTGAGTGTATTTTTGTGTATGGTGTAATAAACTGGTCCAGTTTCATTCTTCTTAATGTGGCTGTCCAGTTTTCCCAACACCATTTGTTGAAGAGACTGTCCTTTTCCCATTGGCTATTCTTTCCTGCTTTGTCGAAGATGAATTGACCGTAGAGTTGTGGGTTCATTTCTGGCTTTTCTGTTGATCTGTGTCTATTTTTGTGCCAGTACTCTAGAGATTTTGATGACTACAGCTTTGTAATATAACTCGAACTCTAGAATTGAGATGCTTCCAGCTTTGCTTTTCTTTTTCAAAGTTGCTTTGGCTATTCGGGGTCTTTTGTGGTTCCATGCACAGTTTAGGATTGTTTGTTCCAGCTCTGTGAAAAACGCTCTTGGTATTTTGATAGGGATTGCATTAAATGTGTATTTTACTTCGGGTAGTATAGACATTTTAACAATATTCGTTCTTCCAATCCACGAGCATGGAGTATCTTTCCATTTCTTTGTCTTCTTCAATTTCTTTCATCTGTGCTTTCTAGTTTTCAGAGTGTGGGTCTTTCACGTCTTTGGTTAGGTTTATTCCTAGGTATTTTATTATTTTTGGTGCGATGGTAAATGGGATTGCTTTCTTCATTTCTCTTTCTGCTGTTTCATTATCAGTGGACAGAAATGCAACAGGTTTCTGTACCTCGATTCTATATTCTGTGAATTTACTGAACTGGTGTATCAGCTGTAGTTTTCTGGGGGGAGTCTTTTGGGTTTTCTACATAGAGTATCATGTCATCTGGGAATCGTGAAAGTTTCACTTCTTCCTTACAATTTGGATGCCTTTCATTTCTGAGGCTAGGACTTCTGGTCCTATGTTGAAGAACAGTGGGGAGAGTGGACATCCTTGTCTTGCTCCTGACCTTAGAGGAAGAGCTCTCCGTTTTTGCCCATTGAGTATGATGTTAGCTGTGGTTTTTCATGTATGGCCTTTATTATGTTGCAGTATGTTACCTCTAACCCTACTTTGTTGAGGGTTTTAACCATGAGTGGATGCTGTACTTTGTCAGATGCTTTTTATGCTTCTATTGAGAGGATCATATGGTTCTTGTCGTTTCACTTGTTGATGTGATGTATCATGTTGATTGATTTGCAAATACTGAACCACCCCTGCAGCCCAGGAATAAATCCCACCTAACCATGGTCAATGAGGTTTTGTGTTTTTGTTGTTGTTTTTTGTTTTTGTTGTTTTTTGTTTGTGTTTGTTTTGTTTTTTTAGAATAGGAGGATGGGGGGTGGTAACGGGAGGGGCAGAGGGAGAAGGAGAGAATCTTCAGCAGGCTCCATGTCTAGGGCAGAGGCCAATGCGGGGCTCATTCTCACGACCCTGAGATCATGACTTGAGTCAAAATCAGGAGTCGTCCCATCAACCAACTGAGCCACTGAGGCACCCCCATGAGTGTTTTTAATATATTGTTGGATTCGGTTTGCTAGTATTTGTTGAAGATTTTTGCATCCAATTTCATCAGGCATACTGGCCTGTAGTTCTCTTTTTTCTTTTGTGGAGTCTTTCTCTGGTTTGGGGATCAGGGTAATGCTCGCCTCATGAAAGTTTTCCTTCTGTTTCTATTTTTAGAATAGTTTGAGAACTGAGTTTTGATTTTTGAAGATCAAACCTTTTTTTGTAGAAATTGACAAACATTCTGAAATCACCTGGAAACACAGAGGACCTAGGGCCGCCAGAACTTTGACAATGAAGAGCAAAGTTGAAAGGCTAATGCTTCCTTTTTCAGAGTAACCCGCGGAGCGAGAGCACCGGACCCCAGTCCGTGTGGGGCTCGTGCACAGAAGGCAGTGGGAGGGAGGTCGAGCATTCAGAAGCAGATGCCCACGTCCGTGGACAGCTGGTCTTGGACAGGGTCCATGACAGTTCAGTGGAGAAAGGATGGTCTTTCGACACTGATCACTAAAAATAAATAAATAAATTTCTAAAACAATCCAATTTCTTAGTGGGCAGAAAGGTTTTTTTAGGGCACCTCACCAACAGAGATACAAATGAGGACATCAGGGGGGCGCCTGGGTGGCTCAGTCGTTGGGCGTCTGCCTTCAGCTCGGGTCATGATCCCAGGATCCTGGGATCGAGCCCCGCATCGGGCTCCCTGCTCTGCGGGAAGCCTGCTTCCCCCCTGCTTGTGTTCTCTCTCTCGCTGTGTCTCTCTCTGTCAAATAAATAAAAAAAACCTTTAAAAAAAAAACAAATGAGGACATCAGGGAGTGAGTTGAAGCCAGATAAGCGCCACGCAGCTTCTCAGTGGCTTTCACTGAGGATGGGCCACGCAGGCACGGTTGAGGACATGGAGGAGCTGAGCCCCTGCCCAGGTGGTGAAGACAGGAAACAGGGCAGCCACTTTGGAAAACCGCTTGGCAGTTTCTTCAGTCAAACGCTGCCTCCTGTAGAGCCTAGTGGACGCAGCCTCGGGCACTCACCCTCAGGAGTGGCCGCCACATCCACACAGGCTTGCGTGCGGTGCTCGTCGCAGATTTTTTGGGAACAGCCCAGCCCGGGAAGCAGCCTGAGGTCCATCAGCAGGTGACAGACAGGCAGAGGGATGAAGGCACACCTCCACGCGGATGGTCCTGGGATCACTGTGCGGGGAAGGGAGCCGGGCAGACTCGAGTGTGAACCTCTCGGTTCTGCCCAGAGACGGTCTGTCTGTAGTGAGGGGAAGCGGAGCGTGGTTGTCTGGGCGGGCAGGGAGTCCTGGGGGTGCTGCAGGGGCACGGGAAGCTTTGGGGTGATGGGTGCATCTGCGTCCTGATTAGAGTGTTGATTCAAGGTGTGTCTGTGTGTCAAAACTTATCAAATTAGGCAGTTGGTGTATTTTATTGTGTGTCACTTACACATCAGTCTCTGACACAAATTTTAAGCTAAATGAGGACACTGTGGCTTCATTTCTGGCCTCAGAATGTTCCTTAAATGAGGGACATGTGATGAATCCGCTTCCCCAGGATTCGTGGAGGTTCTCTTTGTGAATTTCCGGCTTCTTCCCTCCGCCTCCAGAGACTCGCCCCGTGTTGGGCTGCCGGGAGCTCGTCTTCAGAAACCTCTCCAAGATCCTTCCCGCCGTCTGTCACGACATCACCGACTGGGTGCCGGGGACCAGGGTGAAGGCCGCGCAGCTGCTGGCGGTGTTGCTCTTGCATGCGGAGGACCACAGCACGCAGCACCTGGACACCATCCTCCGGGTGCTGCCCCGCGCCTGCGCCGACGACGACCCGGCCGTGGTCCGCAGCGTGAGTTGCCCCTTCCTGGTCACGTTGGTTGCGCTGTAGCTCACGGGTCGTAGAGTTCACTCGCGTCCGCGCGTGGGTCTGCGGGTTCGCGTAAGTGTGAGCAGCCGTGGAGCTGCCGCCACAGCTGAGGTAATGTTCACGTCGCCCTGAGAGCCCCTTGGGTCTTGGCGTCCTCTGCCCCCCCGCAGCCCCCGCCCCCCAGATCTGTCTCCTGTACCCGCGGAGGGCGGCATGTAAAGGTCACTCTTCAGGGGATCGAGCCCCCCGCTCCTCACGCCTTCTCTCCGCTCGAGCAGGCGGGTTGGGACAGGGCGCCAGCGCGCTTCTGACGGACTGTCCCTGTGAGCCTCGCTGGGGCAGGCGGGGCGCCTCCCTGGCTCTGACGGCACTCGCGTGCCCACGGGCTCTGCGGGGAGAGCCAGGCAGGGGCTGCCGGCCCCAGTGTGACAGCCGGTGTCTCCTTGCCGGTTCTCGCTGCCGCCCACCAGCTGGCCAGCGTTAGTGCCACCGCCTGCGTGGACAGAAGCAGGTGAGCCTCAGCTAGGTTTGCTTCCCCTGTCCTGTCTGCCCCAGGAGCTTGGCCACTGGACGCCTTTGCTGAGCAACGGGCCACGTGGACCTCACTTTGGATGTGCATGGGCATGCTCACACCTGCCCGGAGGATGCGTCGTGGGGCCCGTGACGGTGGCCTGGCACACTGGGGAACGTCCCCGTGTTATGTTATTTGGGGACGTTGTATAACTGGAATCATGCAGTGAGTGCCCTTTAGAGATTGGCTAATGCCTGAGGCCCACTGTTCTGACTGCCGAGTGGTGCCCACGGTGTGGAGATGCCAGCGTGTGGCCGTTTTTTTTTTGTTTTTTTTTTTTGTCAAGATTTTATTTATTTGATAGAGAGAGACACAGCGAGAGAGGGAACACGAGCAGGGGGAGTGGGAGAGGGAGAAACAGGCTCCCCGCCGAGCAGGGAGCCCGACGCGGGTGCTCGATCCCAGGACCCCGGGATCATGACCTGAGCCGAAGGCAGACGCTTTAACGACTGAGCCACCCAGGCGCCCCTGTGGCCGTTTGCTTATAACAAGCTTAGGTCACTGGCAGCAGATGAGGGGCGTGAGGCCCTGTTAGGACGTGGCCCTCCTGGGAACCAGCCCCCTGAGGAAGCTCTGAGGGCCGTGGGGATTTCCTGTTGCCCACACGCTGGGCAGACCTTCACTCAGGGCGGTGCGCTGGGCTGCAAGCGCGGCAGGCAGATGCAGGAGTGCCGAGGGCCGTGTGGTGGGCCCCCCAGGGCTGGGGCAACCCGTCAGCCTCCTGCCTTCTCTCGCAGTGCACCAGATCTGCAGAGCTGGTTGGGGTGTTCGTCAGCCCAGAAGTGTTTCTGAAGCTGATCTTGTCCACGCTGAAGAAGTCGCCCTCCGCCTCCGGCCTCCTGGTCCTCGCTTCTGTCATCCGAGGCTGCCCTAGGGAGGCCCTCCAGCCGCACCTGAAGGTCATCGCCGCAGAGCTGGCCCGGCCCCACATCTGTCAAGGGTCTGAAAACGTAAGCTGTGGGAAGGGAGGAAGGCGGAGCACATGATGAGGTTAACCCTTCGTGCAGGGGAGGTGGGCGGCACCCCCTGCCCCCGGCTTTCTACACATACCTATTGACCAGTATTGGTAGATCCCCACCATCGGAGATTTCCACCCGAAGGTACTGTCATTGACACCGTCTTGTCTGGAGACCTGTGTGCCTCCTGCTCTGTCCAGTTGGTGGGCATTCACGTTGAAACTAAACACATGGAAAGGGCAGGTCCTGCCTCACGCTGGCCGCCCACCACATGCCCAGCGGCCACCGTGCGGGACAGTATGGGATAGAGCAGGTTCATGCCGGGGACGGGCTGTGGGGCCACAGTGCTGGGGCTCACATGGTCAGCACCCTTCCTGCCCCCACCGTCGGTCCTCAGCTCGTCACCACCACAAGCTGGTTCTTTGCTCGTGTCCCTCGGCATTGTCATAACGTGCTCAGAACAAGCAAGCTGAGCTTGCTGAGCTCGGCTGGGAAGTGGGTATGGGAATCCACACGTGGCTACTAGGTATTCGCTTTATTCTACATCGAAACAGTCTGGGTAGCCAGGCTTCGTCATTTGGAATAATTTATAATTGTTTGCTATTGAGAAAAAAAATAAGGACTTTGTTTTTGTTTGGCTGTGACAGGCTTAAACCCTGTAACCTTAGCACTGGGTGTGGCCCTCCCACTCCTCTGTAGGGAACGGGGTTCTGCACCAGCTCCTTGTCTGTCCCTGTGGTGCAGGCTCAAGGCCCCGCAGCCGCTGCTGGGCCATGACTGACCCGGGGCTGGGGGACCAGCTACATCTTCGGGCACGGCCAGGTGAAGGACTCATCTGGTCCTTCTCTGGCTTCAGGTGGCAAGGTGGTCCCGTTACGGTTGCAAACGCACCGTCAAGGCCGCTCAGAGCACAGTGGGTGGGAAGGGGGGCTGAGGTATCAGAGAGGGAGTGTCGATGAACTGTTCTGCCTGCTCTTGGTGCTTTTAACAGATTTCACCTTTTCCCAAACCTGTTTTTAACGTCATCATCAAACCCATGTGAATTCTGCATTTTTACTCAGGGTGGCCTGGAAATGATTCTGATCCCTCTACATAGATTTGTGAGCCAGAAGCTTTCTTTTTCCTAAAAGGCTAAATTTGAAATTTTGCAAACATGCTTAAATACAGATCTTACAAGTTTTATAGGCAAGAAAATGTAATTTTCATGTCTTAGCATATTTATAGAAAAATTTAATCTCTTAATCCACAAAGTTCAGATTATGCCTTTGGCTCCTCATCTTCCAGTTTTTTTGAGGAGAAATTTCTATAATGATTTGTTTTGTTTTGTTTTATTTTGTTTTTTTTAAGTAGGCTCCACGCCTAGCGCAGAGCCCAACGCAGGGCTTGATCTCATGACCCTGAGGTCATGACCTGAGTGAGCTGAGATCAAGAGTTGGTCACTCAACTGACTGAGCCCCGGTAGTGATGTTTTAAACAGAGCGTGATCACACCTAGTGTTTCCCCCAATGTGTTCCAGGCTCGGGCTGAGGAACCAGCCGCAGTGAAAACCCAAGATGCGCATTCTGCCCCTTTCCTCACAGACTCAGACGTTTAGCAAACGGGACGAACACTCAGGTTTAGGCACAGGCACCAGACGCAGCCCTGTTCTCCCCGGGGCAGGAGAGTCTGGTGCAGCCGTGGTGACGGGAAGCAGTGCGAGCTTTCTGCAGTCCTTCCCCAGGAGCTGGGAGGACGGGCTGCGGACGTCTTTCAAGAACACACTGAGGCGTAGAAACTCCCCGTCAGCCAGACAGAGGAGCCCCGAGGGCACTGCCAGGCCGCTCCGCGCGGGGCCTCCTGTGCTGCAGGGAGGGGTCGAGGCAGGTGCTTCCCCAGGTGTGTCTGGCCAGTGCTGCACCTGGGACTGAGCTGAGGGAATCGGATCCTTTCCTTTGAAATGTCTGTTTTGTGACAGGTAACTGAGCTGAGGAAATAGTTTGATACCATACGAATAGCTCATTTATTCCTGCTGAACGAGCAGAAACCAGGAGTGCAGGGGCGCGGTCGCCGTAGAAACGTCAGCCTCTAGCACTTTCTCCCGTAAAGTTTGACAACCTCAGGTGACACTGAGTTTCAGGAGCAGAAACCAAGATATCACTTTGGAACCTGTCGCCTCCCCCCGCCTCTGTGTCCCTCTGGGGTGCAGGTGAAGGGAACATTCTCTGCTTAAGTGGGAAGAACTCCATGAACGCTGAGGCCCAGCTTCGCAGAGACGGTGCCGCGCTCCCCGCATGAGGCTCCTCACTGGCTCCGGGTCCGGCGCACCCCACGACCGCCAGCCCAGACAGCCGGCCCATGCTAATGGTGGCTCACGTCTCAGGAGCCGAATCCCTTCCTAACTGGAAGTGATCCCTCCATAAGCGTTTAGTATAGACCGTTCTAGAGATGAGCTGAAATCACGTCCTCAGAAACTGGGTGGCTGCCCGTCCGGGTCTAAAAGAAATCGGGCCGTGGGACACGTGAGAATGTGAATTAAACCCTGGCCTGGCTTCCCCGGGAGAGCTGCATGCCATCGCTCGAGGCCGTCTCCCAGCCTGCGTGTGAGCGGTCGGGCGTGTGTGGGCCGCACTCCTCTGTGATCCAGCGTGAATTCTTTGTTTGAAGTCCCGCGATTCATGTCACTTGTGCGTGAGCCACAGAAGTCCAGAACCGCCTGTGCACGGGCCCTTGTTAGTGAGACTGCGTGCGTGTACGACTTCAGTGTCAGCCCACTGCTGCGTGACCGCCGCCCAGCCTTTCTGTCCTTTGTGACACCTGTGTGAGGCTCACTTGTGGAGGGACATATCTGAGGAGCGAACATGGACCTGGGCAGTAAGGAGTCCTGCCCCACGGTCGATGAGGCTGAAGTCCAGGAGGTGAGCGGCTCGCTGGATGGACCCGGCCGAGGTGCCCCCTGTTGTCGCCGTCCATCAGCAAGCATGTCCTGAACCACAGAACTGTATTTATTTATTTTTTAAACTTACTATTACAGAAAAACTCAGAAACACACAGCAGTAGAGAGAACAGCAGATGAAGCCCCACATGCCCCCACCCGGCCTCAGTGGCCATGGGCTCTGGGGCTCCTGTTCTGTCCACTTCCTCCACCTTTTCTGTTACCTTGGGGGCGGGCTGGGAGGGCTGAGTGTTTGCAGGTGACTCCAACATGCCCTGTCATTTCCCTTGTGAATTTTACGGGATGTGTGGCTAATGCGTAAGAACTTCTTTAAATGTAACCGAGAGGCTGCTAAGCATTTCTTTCTCGGGCCGTGTTCAGTTTCCCCTGGAAAAGAACACCATGAAAGTTTTCCATGAAAGAAGGTGCTCCTGTGGTCCGTGTGTTTCAGTCTGTGGCCCTAGTGTGCTGTGTCCTGTCGGTGTGGGCCCTGGGGCAGGAAGAGGGAGCTGGGAACTGGGGAGCGGCACAGGGGGGCCCTGGGGCAGGA